TCCCTGTGTGTGTTCAAACTGCCACATGTGAAAAACACAAGGCAGGGTTTTTTTTGACAAAATAACACAACTACCACCCTGGAAATCCTTTTCAAGACATTCTCAATGCCTCACTTTTCCCAATCAGTTTTCTAACAGAGGCATATGTTGAAGAGAGAAGCTCAGGGCATGCACTCCATGACAGGAAAAGCTGCTGCTAGTTGGATCTTTCACTGTTCTGCAGTTTAACAAAACTGTTTCCTCCTGTAGCAAAAAATCAGAACCCTGATCATGCTTGACTTGGATGAGGAATTGAGGCAGCCAAGCTGCAGCTCCCATTTGATTTCCTGTTTATTTATGTGCAAAGGCATCATTTCTTACCGCTAGAATATTAGACTAGCATGATGACAGGAATGGCTGTTAAGATTTGAAACCTACTCTGATGCCAGCATGTTCTCCAATCCTTTAGCAAGGCATTCTTGCAGCCATACAGAAATATTCCCTATTGCTGAATTACAAGTTGAATTTTAAAGAGGTAAGGAAAGATGGTGCCATTTCCCAGCTTTGCTCTGCATCATGTTTTGTTCCTGTAGGGATCCTGTTAGCTCTAAAGAAGGTTTTCAGTACAGATGAGCATTTGGCACTTATCTGTGCTAGGACTCTTTCTTTTACTAAAAGATCTGAGGTATTTGCATAGCACATGACACATTTGCCATTCTGTTAGTTTTCTGCTATTTCTACCTCCGAAACTGGAATTTTTTCTGACCCCTTTCATGACTTTAAAAAATGTATTGTGCTTTCTGAGCAGTGTTGATTTAGGTATGTACCAACTGTGCAATACTATAACTCATACCAGTGGGGTTGCCTTTGAAGCTGTAGAACAAGCATTACAAGATTTTTCCCCACCTCTACATTTGGCCTTGGGTGCAGTGGGAGGGCACTGCAGCTATGAAATTCATGAATGACCTCCATTTTCTGTACTGTGATAGCAAGAATGGTTTGTTACTCATTTTTTGTTTTGTTTTGGAATCTAATTTTTCTTGAACCCTCCATACACAAGCTATAGAAAGCATGTAGATATCCTTTCAGAGAGACATTCAAGTTACTATTCCCAAGATAACAGTAGATGAATGGTCTGTAAAAGTCTTAAATACATACATACATACATACATACATACATACTATTCAGACCTGGGATCACCCTTTAACCCAACCTGGGTCCAGCCCATTTCCATTCTTTATTGGATATGCTTGCCTGTTCTCTTCCCCATTTCTTTTCTTTTTTACCTGATCTTTTTCCTCTTTAAACAATAAAACAAGTGAAGGGAGCCTTTGGTGTTACGCACTTGTAGGGTCTGATGTACCTACTGAAGACCAAGAACTTAAGCCTAGAATACAAAGATCTGGTGCCAGCCAGTACACATGCTAACCAAGCTCCGTTTTGCCTTCATGTACTTTTTCTCCATAGAGAATAGATTCAGCTTTATAAATTACCTTTAGCCATGCAGGGCTTTGGCTTCCTAAAAGTAAATACAGGAGTTAAATTTGTTGTGCTGTAAAATGCATTTACACCCAATATTTTGTAATGTGCACCTCAAAAGTTCTCTCCACAGCTTGATGGTCACTTTCAAAACTTGGAAGTGGCACACAAATGGCTGAATTCCAATAGCTTAAGTGTGTCACAGATTAATGCATTTTGGCCCTGAAAGGGCCTCTTTTTGACCTTGATTCAATATATAAAACTGCAAGTTTTCAATCCAAACTGTTGAAACGCTGTTGGAAGAGGATTGCCATTGAACTTTATCCATCTGATGCAAATATATACTGAACTAAGATTTCTGGGTGCTGAAGCAGCACCATTGCCTGTATGACTCAGGATAAGTCTCTTCAGCTTTATTGACACAAGGCACTAGGCTACTGTAGTTGTGCATCTAATTTAGGATTGCCTAAAAATTGCTTCTGAGGCTCCCATTCACAAATTTTATGCTGCTGTGTTGAAAGTGGTGTTTAATCAATGCCAATAGGATTTAGTTTCAGTGCAAGCGGTTGTGGCACCATGTGGAGAAACTCTCATAGGCAAGGGATGATAACAAATTAGACTTGAAGCCCAGGCACAGTCTTCTCTGTGGAATAATTACTCAGCCCATAATGAGAAGCAGAGAGAAATTAAGTTTTGGGACAGGGGCTGGTAATAAGCATGTATTATTCAGTTCAGTCACCATAGCCATACATATATTTATTATATGTCTATCCCACCTTTTTTCCTTCCAAGGAACTCATGGTGGCTTATATAATTCTCCTCCTCTTTTAATTGTATCCTTATGAGAACTACAACCCTGTGAGGTAGGTTTGGCTGATTGTCTGTGCCTGGCTTGAAGTCACCCAGCAAGCTCTATGGCTGAGTGGAGCTAAAACCCAGATTTCCCAAATACCAGTCCTGCATTCTTAACCCCACACCACTATAAATCCTGTAGGGGAGAAGCCTGTTCATAGTTATGGTGGCCTAAAAGGAGGACCAAAATAGAGGACATTTGCATATGTCTAGGATCTTTAACTGGGCTCTCCTATGAATTCCTCACCCCAAGGATGAGGACCTTTTCTGTGGTGGCATCCCAAATATAGAGCACTCGACCACGGAAGATTTACCAGGTGCCCACCTAACTAAATTCAGGCACCTGGCAAAAACATTTCTTTTCCAGAACACCTTTGGCACCATCTAGACTATCTACATCAATCAATGCACTGGTTTTTAATTATATAAATTTATGTTTTATTTTTATTTAAGTATTTATTGTTATTTTAGTCTGCTTATTTATTATGGCATTTTATTCTATTATTTTAGTAATGTTATTCATTGATTTTATATTGTAATGGCCACCCTGACAGCATGATGCTAACAGGTGGCTTCTAAACAAATTTAATAAATATATATGTGCATTTAAATGTGTGGGTACACGGTCAGCGTGAAAACCATAATTGGAACAGAAAAATGTGGCACGTCTCTGTAGTGGAGAAGACTAACAAGGTGACTCACGTGCCTGTTCATTCCACTGCCCAGATGCCAAATGTGGCTGGGCACCATCTAGGCACTGCTCTCCTTTCTTGGGGTTCTTTAACTTTAGACCAGATTTAAACAGGACAACTCTTCAGCTCATGGGTACCTTCAAAGAAGGGATTGTCCTCTGCCAGGTCTTTGAAGCAGAGAGCTGTCCTCTCCAAACTAGTATACCTGGCCACCTTCTAGTATGTCTACTCTTCTTCATTAAAAGTGGACAAAGAATTTAATTGGGAAATAGGAAGCTAGCTTCAGCTGGCTTTCTAAACTGACTGCCTTCTATGCTTTGCCAAAAGCTGAATTAGATGCTATTATGCTAATATCACTGAAACAACCTGTAAGAAGTTACTGCCTTTGTGGTCCCTATCCAAGCAAACATTAACAAATGTGCAGGTCCAGTATGCCTTTCAGATGTGACTTTCAGCATATTTTGTACATATTTTGTGTCACAAACTTTTTATGAAACAGGATGATGTTCACATTGTGGGAGGTGCAAGAAGCAACCTTAGGGCTGCCACATGTCTGTAATGCTTATAATGGCAACATGAGGAGGGATTAATGGGCAGCTCTTCCAAATGTTATCTGTACCAAATGTTATCCACAGCTTCTCCTGTGGATTTCAACCTATGGCTCAGGCTTCTCTGCAAAGGATAGAGAAGTTCTGGCCATGAAAAAAGATGGCAAATCCAAGGTCAATGGTATCAGACCTCAGGCCCCTGGACCAGCCTAAGCCTACTTGGGGCCCAAATCTGGCCCTCTGAGGTACCCCAGTTGGCTTTTCCTGTTTCCCCTAGTCCCAGACTTTTCCCCTGGGTGTCAACTAGTTGGTGCTTTCCTAGTGCACATTTCTTTTTACTGCTTATAAATGGGTCTCATCCGGCCCAATTACTGGCAAGAAATGGTCTGAGCTAAAATATGCTGGACTAGTTGTTGTTGTTTTGCCTTCTCCCTTTGGCCTGGTCCCTTTTACCTTCAGCCACATTTACCCCTGGAATGTGACTCCTGAGTGCTTCTCCAAAACTGAATTTGGCACTCAGCCTGAAATGGGGTCAGCACTGCTGCCCTGGGTGACTTTGAATGGACAGAAGCCACACCACCATTCCGACTCATAGAGAAACCTGGTATACAACACTAGCTAAGACAGTGAATGGACCACCCGAATTAGAGCAGAAATGGAGGGATTGTGGGCTTCCCAAATCTGTGAGTCTTGTGTGCAAGTGTGAGACCTGTGGAGAGGGTGTCTAAATTCCATACAGAATGCCTGAGACTGGAATTCAGCACAGAGAAGCTCAGAACTTTAACAAACGCCACTGGAATGTTGGTTTCCTGGTCTCCCATGTTCTAGCTGTAACTAGCTCTTGACAGTACCTCCTTGTGGCCATTGTGTCACAGATACTGCAGCATAGTTCTAGTTTCTGGCATGGGTGTGACTTTTTCACTAGAAAGGTTGAGTCAGCCTTGCTGCAGGCAATCTCTTGTGAAATGGGAGGTGAAATTTCCAACCATGCGGCAGAAGCCATAGCCCAAGGTAGAAGGAGCCTCTTAGATCAGAGCTGGGTGTGAGAACTGAAAAACTTCACCCATGGCACAGCTGTGGCTCTCAAATCAAGGTTGTGGTGCACAGGTGAATTTGATTCCTGTGTTTTTAGAACTGGATTCAGAGGTAAGGTGTACGTGTCAATTGTGAACTGAAGTAAGGCTGTATATAATGCATTCCAACTACGTAGTATCAACATTCTGGTGGAAACCCAAGTAATTTTATATATTAACGTTCCAAGTGTGAAGGTCCATGCTTATGATGAGATATCATATATCAGAGTGTAGATAGGGATGAGGGAAACCAATTGGCCTGGCCTGGCAATTTCTACCTACAGAACAAATCAATCCTTCTGTGTAAGTCATGGCAGCAGGGAAACTACAGCACTGATTTTGGTGATTCTCTTCTAGGTTGCATGACAAAGTGAAGATGGCAAAAGGTGATACTGGTGTACGATGTTTCCAAGGCTTGCTTATCCTGGGGAATGTTGTCATGGGGGTAAGTGAACCTGAATTGTGAAACTTGGGGGTGCTCTGTTAAGTGGTGGCTTTCAGTGGATGGATGTTGGTAAGCACATCTCTAGTTGAAATGATCCCATCATAGCTTGTATACCCAAGTTAGTGGGAATTGACCTGATCAGTAGATGAATACATAAATCCAACTTAATAGGATTTAGATGCTCTTCACAGGGCCCATCTATTGTTTTCTTTCTGCTTTATAGGTGTGATTGGGGGCATGTATTTTACAATTGGCATGCTTCGTGCCTGCACACTCATGCACATGTAATTTCATTTGGGGATGCAGGAAAGGTCTTGGAAAGTTCCCGATGTGCCTCCCTTGTAGCTGAGAAATAATTCCTTCATTTCATTCTCTAAAAATAACAAAGAACAGCAAGATGTCTTTGTTGAAAAGAGATGTGTAAAGTCAGCATTTCTTCTCTTTTAAAATAAGGGATAGAGGGGTGGGATGGAGAAAGAATCACAAGGCTAAGAGGCACCATGTGTTCCTTAATAGGAAGGAATGCACATGGCAAAGAAGCTGGTGCCTGTTAAATAAGATATTAACATTTATTCAAAGAAAATCAGAGGTAGGACAGGCAATTTCCTGTGATGACAGGAAAAGCCAGGAGTGCATGCCATTTGTGGTGCATCCAATTACATATTTGTGCAAGCTTTACTTGATGTGAAGCACCCTTAATAGATAGAAGAGGAGGGAGCACAGGTTTTGAGCAGTATATTCAATCTGGTTCAAGCATTTGCCTTATTGTCAAGCAAAACACCTCAATATTGCCTGAGATGACTGCTGTATATCTCTCTGGTTCTTAGTGTTGCGGCCTTGCACTCATGGCAGAGTGCATATATTTTGTGTCGGATCATCACACACTGTATCCGTTGCTGGAAGCCACTGATAACGATGACATCTTTGGTGCTGCCTGGATTGGGATCTTCACGGGTTTCTGTTTCTTTTGCCTCTCTGTCCTGGGCATTGTCGGCGTCCTGAAGTCAAACAGGACAATGCTGCTGGTGGTAAGTTCGGAAGCCACTTTGTGTTCACGTGATCCCCAAAGCCAGCCAGCCAGCCGTGTGCTGCTGTATTCCTCGCCGGTTGCCAAAATGAATGTCCTTAACGATGATAACTGTGTGGGAGATAGCAATGACTAGGCTGTCAAAGAAATACTATGTTTGCAGAGTTCCTGAAACCAGAATAATTGTGAGTGCTGGCACTTTCTGAGCAAATGAAACTTATTGCAGTGGTAACACAAAAGAACAGAACTGTTCTTCAGTTAGATAGGTGTGCTGTCAATCTTTTGGAAAAGTGGACAAAAAATGAGGCATATTTTATTCAAAATATATATTGTCAAATACCTTACCACTGTCACCTCACAAAACTCTGTTGCAAGACAAAAATGTCACTGAGAAAGTTATATCCACATGTCTTTAGCTTGAGGGAGAAATATTCTAGTTCAGTGTGATTAAAAATGTAGTGTAGTATAAAGAACTGTCTTCCCTTTAAGGGAGGTTTTAGCTATTACTATTCATGAAGCATGTGGTGTTTATGAAGAACTACTTCATTAAAAAAAAGTTGTTACTGAAATCTTGGGCATGGACTAGAAATCCACAACACAGTATAAGCTTCTGGAGTTTTCTGCTCCATATCTGAAGGAAAAAAGATGTTTATTTCTAGCAAGGTAGTTCCCCAAATTTAGATGCAAACCCAGATGTGCATAACAGATCCACAAATCATAGAATGCTTCTGTCAATGTTTACCACAAATATTTGTGGAGAGGGGTGGCTGTCAACGAGCTTGTTTAGTCATGTATAGTTACCACTTAGTACTACTGCAGTATTAAAGGCTGACTTGCAAGTGGGATGGGGCCATTGCAGAGGCAATGCTATGGAAAGGTTGTGACAGAACTCAGGTGTTCTGTTGCTCCTCCAATCTGAGTTTGTCAGCTATGCGGCTGTTCTGGACTGGTCTTAGCCATAAGTTCATGGTTCTCCTAGGAACATATTTGGCCTGGCTCCCTCCCTGATTCCACTTGACATAGTGTCAGAAGTCTAAGTTTTCAGCCTTGCAAGAATTGCCTTCCATGCTACAGCAATCAGGCACAGGAAGTTTTAGCTTTTACATACTGCGAGAACAGACAAATTGGAAGGAAAGATTTGCACATTTCCTCATAGCAAAAAAGACTGGAGAAGTACAGGTTGCATGCTATGGAAAGGGATATGGAGGAGGAGAATCTTAAGGGATGATTATGATGAGCCTGATGAGACTTATATTCCTAAATCTAATGTTTGTGAGTGGGTCTGTTCCTACTAGATAGAGCCCTGAATCAGCTCAGATCCACAGTGATCACATCTTGGACAGAGGACTCTTGGGCTGTAAATGCAGAGATTTGCACTTGAAATCACAGCTGGCATGCCAGATCTCCTTTTTCTGGGATCCATTGCTTGTGATGATACATTAGTGGCAAGCCCACAGCTTTAAAATTGATGCAGGTACTGGTGTGGCAGTAACATCAGGAGGAACATGTTCTTACCTTGATCCGCCTCCCATGCTGGAACCTGCTGACACCACCTTAAACAGCCCTAGACATCCCTTGACCTGTATTCTCCATTTCTCTGCAGAAACATTATACAAGGGTCAAAGGTTCAGTTTCAGGGAGTATATGACCAGAGGACTGAATGCTGATAACCTTTCCAGTTGTAGAGTAGTTGCCAAGATGTAGAAGATAGAGGAAGCATAGACAACTCATGTCCTATAGATTATTTGGGCTACAACTCCCATAATCTCTTACTGTTGGCCATGCTGAGGCTAGTGGGACTTGTAGTCTGAAACATAGAGCGCCAGGTAGTCTGCCCCTGAAATAGACCATGTTGAGGGGGTATTTGGGGGTGCTGAACTCCTAAAAAGAGACTCTGTACATGTAACTTAAAAGTTAAGGGTGGTTCATATAGTGTACATTTGCCAGAAAGAATTCCTGTTTCCATTATTCAACAAAGTAGAAAATGACTTCAAAAACTGGAAGAAATTCGTGTAACACATACAATTATAGAACTAGTGCTATGTTGCCACATGGGGAAGGCCTATGCTTGAGATGTAGAATCCTATATACCACACTTGGAAAGAAGATGATGTGAGGGAACCTAGACAAATAACTCAAGATGTTATTGCCTACATACATATGGAATGGCTAAAGTACCAAAAGAACATTAGGTCTGCTATTAGTGGACAGCTAAATGACCATAATAGACCAGCAGGGAAAGGAGACTACATTGTCATTCCAAGAGCTTGGAAGAATAAGTTTTAGATCTTCTTTTTCATGAAGTCCATCAAACTCCATTACAAAATGTTACAAACAGCCAAACAGACTATGTGGGGGCCTGGCATCAAGGTCAAGGGTCCCATTGGCCACCTTGAGGATCTTTGCTGTCTTGAGCCAGCATGGTATGGGGTTACACTAGAACAGGAAATCCATGTTTTAGTCCCCACCTGGCCATGATGCTCACTGGATGGCATTGGACCAGTCATTCACTCTCAGCCTAACCTACCTCACAGGATGGCTGTTATAAAATGGAGCTATCTAAGCTACCTTGGGGTCCTTACATGATGAAACAAGGTGGAATATAACAGCAATGTAATGATAAGAATGGTAAAGAGTGCCATCTTTCTTGATAGGAAGGGTATCAAAACTCAATGCCATATAATCAACGATAAGGTGCTCATCTGTGAATTTTTCAGGCTGAACAATCCTACACAACACAAAAAGCCATAGATTGTGGCATCTTCACCGGAAGAGGCCAGGAAGGCATCAAATGGCCACTCAGAGTGACAGAAGATGTGATCAGTGCAGTAGCACCTGGACCAGCTTTGGCCTTTCTGGGCTGCCTGAGCTTCCTTCCTTATTTTTAAAATGTTTCATAGCCATAGGGTGGGCAGCTGGAGAGGTACATGGTTACAGGCACTATTCTTACTTTTCAAATGTTACTCTTTCTACAAGAACATGGTGCTTATTTCCCAGTCTATCCAGGGAACCGAAGCTAACTCCATTTCCCCCTCCCCCCGTAGTCATGATGATGTTGTGATTGTACTGAATTCAACCATGCTTAGAAGGTGTTTTGGTTTTGTGTTTTGTTTTGTTTGTTTTTAAATAGCAGTCGCAATCGCAGAAGGGTGGGCGGGGGGTTCCTCTGTAACATATTGGGAATGTAGAAAGGCTTGTACAGCTTAGAATGGCAGTGGTGGGGAAAAGAATAATGTGAGTAGTGCAGCTTGCACCTGAAATAATAATACACATGGTCATCTAAAGAGCATCCATAAGACCATAGAGTCCAAGTCTAAAATTACCTAGCTGCACTACTGCCCAAAGATCTTGTGCCTCTGATTTCTTGTGGACCTATATCTGAGATTTAAGTGTTCCTGTGTATTTGGTTTTGTTTTAGTATATCATCCTGATGATGATTGTCTTTGCCTTTGAAGTTGCCTCCAGCATCACAGCGGCTGTGCATCGAGACTTCGTAAGCAGTCTGTCACTCTGGTCTATTCTCTCACATGTTCTCAACTTCAGCTTTGCCATTAAATGGATATAGGACACAGACTGGTGAAATGTTTGAGGCTTTAACCAGACATGAGGATAATGGCTGAGTGGGAAATTTGCAAGGTTTGAATGAATTGTTATAGTCCAGCGGAAAGGAAAGCTTCTGGCCCACAGCTGCAGCCTCAAGAATAGCGGTAATGGGTTTTGTAGACCAAAGAAAGTTGGAGTCATAGAATTTTAAAATGTTGGTCACATGCGAACAAATGCTGGGACAGTCCCTGGCTCAGAAGATGCCATGAAAGGCCAGCCAATCATAGTTTTATTTATTCATTTAATTTCTATATCACTCCACAGCCGAAACTCTTTGTGTTGTATTAAACTATGCATAGGGGTGTTGGTGTGGGTTTGTCTAGATCATTTAACACTTTGCACCAAAAGAAAGAATGTTGCCGTAACTAATTCTAAATGCCATGGTAACATGTATTGTGAGCTGTCAGGAATGTAGCCTTCTATCTTATATAGATTCTTCTCCATAATAGGATCTGCCTAAAGCTTGTCCTCTCTTGTTGCCTTGTAGCTCACACCCAATCTCTTCTTGAGGCAAATGCTGGAAAAATACCAGAATCCAGAACCAGTCAACAGTGATGATGATTGGAAAAGTGCTGGCATCACCAGAACATGGAATCGTCTCATGTTGCAGGTAGTTATGGCTGTAGAGTTGACGTGAATTATTCTAGCATTGAGTTGCTCTAGCACTGTGCATTACTAAATATTTCAGAACTAGAGTGCTCTTGCATGGTTTCTTTTTGATCTTTTAAATGAAGAAGTTCCTGCTGGACAGCAGCTAAGTCTTGCGAGAATTTAGATAACAGACACAATATTTTAAAAGGTTGAAAAGCCAGCTTGATAACTGGCTGTAAGCACTTTAAGCTAAAATATGCTGGCATTTTTGCCCCACCCCTTTTTTGCCTTTGCTGCACCTCCTTTTGCTATTGATCCACCACTACCATCACTGGAATATGTCCCATGAAAGCTCCTCTAAAACTGAATTCAGCCGATGAGCTGAGAAAGATTTGACCCTTTATTACTATTTGTTTGTTTGTTTGTTTGTTTTTGGAATGGAAAGCTTAATCACATCTTTCAATACTGCCAGCTCTCAGATAACTCCATTTCAGGGCTTGTATTCATCACCTTTATGGTGATGGCTTCACTCAGATGTTATCTGACTAATGCTCTGTGGCGTTGTGGTAGTAGTTGAGTAAAACCTAGTATTTGTGACTTTGTTTAGCCCAGCAGTAGCGCAGGGAGCTGAAGCTGCAGGCTCAGCGCATGCAACACAACTGGGAGGGATTTGTTTGTAAATAAAGATGTGTAGGGCAAGAATTGGGATATAAATGACTTGCAATAAGCCATATGAAAGAAATTGATCTTGAGGTCTTGAAGTGCTGTCCTTAGTTATCCTTAGTTATAGAGTGATGCAGGCACGCACTTTCTGTAACATGTACAAAATAGTCCAGTCTTGGCCAAATAGTTGGGAATGACGTAGGTCAGAGGTAGGCAACCAGGTGTCCTCTAGATGCTTTGGACTACAAACCTTATAACCCCAGGCACCATGGCAAATGGCTATGGAATTGTGATCCAAAATATCTGAAGGGCACAAGGCCATCTGTTTATTATTCTTCCCTTCACCATCACCTTCTGTGTGAATTGAATTTTGAATGGTTTTGGCTTGATCCAAAACTTGGAAAGCTTCTTGGGTACAGCAAGGTACTCGCTTTATTTCATTTCTATGGATAGGATTCTACATGCAAGCATTCTGTATGCTCACCTATCCAAGGAACCCTTAACATAAAGAACCCATTTGTTATATCAACACTGTGTCCAGCACTACTACATTACAGCAATATTTTAGTAGTTCCTTATTTGTGCAACATGGGAAGGTGCCAGTTATAGCTAGATACAAGTCAGTCCCATAATGGATCAGATCTCTCTTGTTCACAAAAAAAATCCAGTTTTTCAAATGACCAAGTAGATGTTTAATCCTTGTAATCCTAACCAGCAACTTCCCCCTGCTTCTAAACCTAGAATAAATGCTGTGCTGTGAATGGCCCAACAGACTGGCAGGCGTATACCTCAATTTTTAGGACGGTGAATAATGATGCAGATTACCCCTGGCCACGCCAGTGCTGTGTTATGGATGTACAAGGAAAAGCAATCAACTTGGATGGCTGCAAATTGGGGGTGTCTGGCTATTACCACAACACAGTAAGAATTCCTTCTTAATCTTGTTTTTGCAGTCACTGGAAAGTGAATCTGCTCTCTGGAATGTCAATAGACTGCTGAAATGCAACATCATGGTTAGCAGGCTGAAGCCCCAAGCTTAGGAATGGTTGCCTGTCATTTTCTTGCCTTCCTGCCTTCCCTGAAGCAACTAGACTTTCCCCTCAAAGCTAATGGTGATTGTACAGATTTGGTCAGAGATTCTAGCTCAAAAAGGAGACTGAGAAGAGTTGCAATTGGGAGCTAGTCAAGGTGAACAAGCATATCATCAGTTGCATCATTAAGCTGTGTCCAGTGCAAGATTAGTAGAATTGAAATACACACATACCACAGTCATGTGGTACCTTAAAGATCAGATTATATGTGACCGTGGCATAACCATTTTGTTTGTATTTCAAAGTGCCACAAGAAATTTGGAGTATGTATGCACATTATGACAAGCTGTCATGGGGCATCATCATGTGGACTGACCCCTCATTTTGATAATACAAGCCATGATGGGTGCACTGTACCTTGTCATGTTGTGTGAAACCGGAAGACAAGGATTATGAGAAGGTTACTTGAGGGTTCTTTAATCCTCACATAACCCACTCCACTCCAGTTCAGATGATATGACAAGCATGCTTCAGCATGTGTGTACCATGGTTTTCATACTCAAAATAGTAGCAAAGCCTAGCAGGTAAATTAACTCATAGTTCCTTAGCATGGTATGCAAATCAAATCAGTTGCAACAGGGAAGTGTCATAGCAAGTTTGGGAGAAATCCCACAGTTTGTGGAAATAGAATACTTCTTTTGTGGGGAACCCTAAAAGGAGGGGAGCCCAAAACAATGAAGACTAAACATGTAAGTGATTGCAGAATGCAAAGTGTTTGGTTGTTAGAGATGGAAAAATGGGGAGATGGAATGGAGTGTCATGAGAGTAGGTATAGTTGACTCTCTGAACTGAAATGTTCCATGTTACAATGTTTTGTAGCAGGTCCCATAAATGCAAGAAATTTGGGAACTCATAGTTAACTTGTTAAATCAGCTGATTCTTCTTTTGCAACCAAGTCATTCTCTTGGTTGAAGAAACAACTAAAGACACATTTCAGTCTGCCATGTGTAGTTGTATCCTTTCAGCTTTGATGAACACCCTAATATGAAGGGTGGGAAACACTGAAAGGATAGAAATATATTATGTTGCTGTGGGTGCTGAAAGCATTTTGCAGATTTTAAGTTGCCTGTCTCAGTTCTTCTTCTGCATTCAAGGCTGGATGTTTGAAGTTGTTAGCCAACTTAGGGATCATCAGACAAGCTCCTTAATGTCAAATGAAGGCTTGAGATGTTTTGAACTATGTCACCTGGCGGCCTGTTTCCTATTTCTGACTCTCTTTCTCTGAATCCTCAGGGCTGCTATGAAACCATTGCTGGCCCAATGAACAGACATGCTTGGGGTGTTGCCTGGTTTGGATTTGCCGTCCTCTGCTGGACTGTGGGTATCTAATACCAGTTACCTTATGCTATGTTGGATTTTCTTGATATTTGGGAGGGGGGATTGTTAAATTAAATTTGATAATTAATTTGATTAATAATCTATTTGCTTCTGGATGGGATCCTTCTGGTTTAGGATGGAACATATTCAGTTGTTTTGATTTGGTTATAGATCTTTCTTCCCACCCTCAGTCAAAAAAAAAGTTTCTTGACATTTGAATTTTTTTTCAAAGTCATAGCTTCCTAAAGTGGCATGACTATCATCAGATCATTTTTATAAGTAAGATGTTAAGTAAGCCTTAACATCTCTGGTCTGTCTTTTCTCCAAAGTCTTTGTGTGCTCTCATTTCATTTCTTTAGAGCCTTTTAAGGACTTAAGCTGCTTGGAGCTAAATATTTGTTTAATAGTGATTATGATGATGTGACCATCTCTATAGCTTGTACACTGAATACAAAATTGAAGGTAACATTTTAAATACATGATGAGGTTCCTCTGTTGCTAGATTTGCAGCTTCTGGTTTAGCTATAACCTATATAAATGTCTGTTACCAAAATAATCCTATCTCCTACACAGACACAACAGCTAAGGGAAGGCATGTTAACCCCTTAGCCCTCATTTCCAATAGAAACAAAGACGAAGTACTTAAAACATTTTATGAGTGTTCATCTCTTGTTAATGCAGCCTCTTTTCCCCTCCTGCTGTTTTAAGTTGAGAATGTATGCTACTTCTGACTGAGTCCAATTTCTTGCTTATTTTACCCTGTATGCTGCTAGTGCATATTTAATGTTGTATGGAGGTTTGTAAAACCTTGTATAGGTCAATTGATTGAGAATATTTACAAAGAGCTCTTTCCTCAAGCATTCGGAGACCAGCCCTGTGAACTTCATTTTCTGAGCCAGCTAAGGTCAGATAAGCCTTTTGCATCCAGGGAAACTTGTTTGCACTACCAGGACTGTTTGGACTGTCCTTCGAGGACACTTGCAATGCCTGCATAGTGCCTAAACCAGTACAGCAAGCACCAGTGTAAGTGCAAAATGACCTCTAGGGAGGCAACAAAAAGAATGCGAATAAATGCAGGAAGACTGGTTATCCTCTAGCTAAAGGCATGTAGGCAAACTTGACATATTCACGTCAGCTGAATGACAGATTCTGGAAAGTGTTCTGGAGGGCCAGGATTGGAGACGCCAGGGCTGAGCAGAAATCAGAATGCCCAATTTTATTGTCAGGTTGATGCTGTCTCTCTCTCAACCACGTTGCTGGTAGGGATCTGTGAGCAAATGATGGTGGGGAAACAACACACAGAAAAGTCAATATTCTGCCTCTGCTTGCCTTCTTCTTCCACAATCTCTTCTCCCTCTAGAAGGAAAGGGTTGATGGGAGGTCATTTCTTCTGACTTAGATGCTACCCATCCTCAGGCCTCTTTTTGCCCCAGTCATTAGGCAGATGACCTGAATGTTGGAAGACAGGTTGTCCGAATGCTCCCTTCATGCTTCTTGTGATAGAAATAAATCCTGCTCACTCTGAGGTGTCCCTACATGGTTCTGAACTGAACCTAAGAAGAGAGTTGCTGGTGTTGTGGAAATGGATGGGCTCAGATCAGGTGCCATGTTGAACAGATGTGGCCCAGATAGGTTTCCAGAACTTTTTTCCTTCCCCAAATATACCAGGATATGTGTGTGGGGTGCTCACACAATGAGTTCCATAGTAGGGTTCCATTTAGCCCTAGACTGGAGTAAGCAACCTGCAGCCCTTGACCTAATTTGAAAAGCCCTGGGCAACTAATCAATTGAGACCTCCAGTAAGGTTAGTGTGTCCCTCTAGCTTGTTCGGGATGGTGGAACAATGGAAGAGAAAAATGTGGTGGCAAAAATTGAAAGGGATGGTCTTGCCCACCACTGGCATTTGCATCCCAACTGATTGTCCCCAAGGGGACATGGCCCTGAACAATAAAAAAGGTTCTCCATCACTACCCTAGATTCTGCCATGGGAAGCTGGGAATTGCATAAGAAAACAATTGTCATAGGTTTCTCAAGATTCTAGATGTTTCCTATACATATTTTAGAGTGGACAGATTTGCACAGATTCCTGGTGGAGAAAGCTATGAATAGCTATTAGTTTTCCAGTATCAGAGACAGAATGCCTGGTACTCTGTTTGATGAGGAAGTTGGGCAGTCACATCTTGCTTGTGGGTTCCCCGTGAGCATCTGGTGGGCAACTGGTTGGCTGGACTAGATGGTTTTACCCATCTGCCCATATGTTCCTATGGAGATCTCATTATGGAGCCTGTTTTCCCTATGATCATTTCTCTATCTGCTTCACCTACATTTTGGGTAGGTGGGCTTCAAGGAAGGGTCACTGCAACAATGAGTCAATCCAGAACCCAGACTGCAAGAAGATCTGGAGGGTGTTCAGCAGCAGTTTCATCTAATTATTTCTAGTACAAACTGGACAGAACCTGCCTAATTCACCTGCTTGCAAGTAACTGGACTAGGGAGCCAATCACTTTCTTGTTAGCAAGAAACAGTACTAAAAGAGGGATTGGGGCTTGAGAGATATATTTAAAAGTTTTAACTCATTCTTTTAAAAAAATCCATCTTGATTTTGGAAGAAAGACCTACCAGTCTTGGAAAATTTAGTCTCGTTGTAAAATGTTCCTGTTTTTTTGTTGGCTGTTAAATATGTACATTTGTCTTGTTTATTTTTAATTCAAGCAAATTGGCATTATCTGTATTTTTTCATTATGGAGGCAAAACATCCTCTAGGAAATGGAGGCTCTTGAGCTGAGTACACTATATGGAGACAAGGGTTAATTGCACTCTGCTTAATTGTGTTGTTTGTAGCAGTAACCTTTCAACCTGCCCTTCCAGTTGGTGGAGTTTTAGGGTGGAAATTGGGGGCAAGATGTGTAAGATGTTGCAGTGACAAGATGTGTGGCCTCACCCGAATTTTTTTTCTTCTCCCCGCCCCACTTTTTTTTCAGACTTGGGTCCTTCTTTGTACCATGTTCTATTGGAGCAGAATTGAATATTAAAGAAGCAGTGTCCTATCAACCTGTCCTTCTTGGAGTATTTTTTTCCTTTGGTAATGTGATGCTTATGTAAAATATTTTCCTCACTGGAAGTTCTGAAGATCTGTCCTTAATCCTTCTACTCATCTTCCCAATGGTCTCTCTTCTCCCTCTGCTTATTTCAGACATAGCAGGTGTGTAGTACCTGCAAGTGGGAAAAACAGGTTGTTCCCTTAGGCTGTTCTGTGCTTGGAAAACATCTCTTGTGTTAAACACCATTAGATAAATATGTTATACCCAGAGGTAGCAATAGAAAAGAAAATGGCTCCAAATACATCAACCAATTTGAAGTCAATTGTCTGGAGCAAGTATGTTTCAAGATGTAACACTCCATCAAGTATTACTGAAATTATTATTTCCCTCTGCTTTGTGAGCATGTGTCAGCTCTCCTTGCTGTTGAAATGTATGAATTTAATGGACCAGTCATCTGCTTACATGTATAAGACCAGAAACAAAGTTATACAGGAACTGAATCTGGCTCTGAAGATTGAATTGGGACAATTTGTTCACTGCAGCAATCAGTGCACTATGGGTGTGCCACTGTGTTCAGAGCTACCTCTTTGCACTCACGGCTGGCGTGCACATACAGTACACACCTTTTTCTGTGCTGCTTGTCCAGCCAGCCCATATTTGTGTCGTCTGCTTAGGAGAGCTATCTTTTTAGCAGTGAAACAACTGCATTTTCATATATATGAAACAGTGAACTGTCACAAGGTGCCCTCCAGATATTGGGCTACAGTGTCTATGATGGGACCTGTAGTCCAACATCTGTAGGGTACCAAGTTGTGTCAGGATTACTGATCATGAGAGCGTACAGCATGCAGTGGCCAGCTGGTTATACAAACAAATCTTTTAAAACTGATCTGACTGAATTGTGTGTCCTTTTTGTGCTATTTTGTTCCTTGTACAGAAATGTTTTCAAATGAGAACCAATTTTTTTCACATGTAAGCTCCAAGAACTTACCACTGCTCTGTTTCAGAGTTCCTGTATATTTTGTTGTTCTTTAATTATAATAAAATGGAATATAATAAGATACATCTTTAAGACAATTGTAGTTTTGTCTCAAATGTGTCTTAAGTATTTTGATTTTCTATTTTAGTATGTTGTTGTATGGGTGGTTTTCTAAAGCTGAAGAACATGAATGAATAAAAGTTTTTATGCTGGAGAGAGACATTTAAGGGCACACTGGTTAGTTAAAGCCAAATACTTGTGATTTTATTGTATTTTTATTTTTAAGATGGAAGTACTAGAATCCTTCCACAGTGGGATTCTTTTAGTATCCCATGATAATGTTAATATATCAAAATTCAAGCCTGCCTGCTTATTAGAAATATGACCTGCAGTTTTAGTAACGATAAATGGAATACCAGGTCTAAGATATGACTTGTGTAGTGCATGGAAACCTAAGGGGCTATTTAGATGACTTGGAATTTACCAAGGATTTGATTGTTCATAGAGCACCTCCAGTCTACTGTTGAAAAACAGTGGGAAAATGTGTTCATCTTTAGTAAGCCTCCATAACTTTCCATTGGTACATATGAACCCTCTTCTTAACCCCACTTCCTCATTACTTAACTGCTTAACTGCTGAAGAAAGGCTGTACTCGATTTCTCCAGCTGGTTAAACAGGCGTTGTGGTCTTTGACTGAACTGCTAAGTTTGGTTTGATTATTAATCCCAGCAGAAATATTGCTGAGGTTCTGCCTAGGATGCTATCTGGACAATTTTACAGTCATTCCATTTTTAAAATTTTAATATCCTTCATGGCACTGTGGAGCTTGATAGGTCATCAGTGTTCAGGGTGTAAAAAGTACTTTAACGAGAACATTCCAGGAATGAAAAATAATTTGTCTAAGTTGTTCATCCAAATGGGAGACAGCAGGAGGTTCTCAAATCTAGCTAACAGTGGTTTTCCAGGCTTTTAGGCAGAAAATCTTCCCCATTGTGGGTTATCTGATCTTTCAACTGGAGATGGCAGCATTGAACCTGGGACCTTCCATATACAAGGGAGGTGCTCAGCCCAAAATGCTAGGCGTGCACTACAACAAAATAACCATTTGGCTACTCCTTTTAAATAAATTGAAATGCTTCTAGCTACCTCCTGGCAGCCGTGTCTGCATTCCATGAGAATCATGGATCAATTTCCATCACTGGGGATTCCATCAATGGTAGTGGGGTGATCTATCTACTCGGGTACTAAACACCAACTGTCAAATAGGTTCTGAACTATAGACAGCTCCTTTAAAGTTTAGACTAAAGTCCAGGGTGTATACACCAGCACACTGAAATTGGATCCACCAGCCACTGTGGATTTCCATTCTGATATCTATGTAGCCTGTGGGATCAATATTGTAATGTGGATGTTGCCCACAATGTCCTGCTAATGTTTGGTCTATTTCTAAGGCATCCATGCAGTGTGTATTACCTTGTCATTGCAAGTAGATGGAAGAGTGCAGGTTTTCAGAAGAGGCTGCCAATCATCCTAAACTGAAGCGGAAGCAATTGGTTACTTCCTGGAAGTGATTAACTAAGCTTGGACCTGCTGCTTGTTTGAAAGCAGTCATTACCCTTTCCCCAGAAAGCAGAGAAACAAGAATTACTGTTCATAATGGTGCCATACTGGACTTCAATTGCATACATGGTCTAAGAACGGACAGATAGTGGAATGCCACCAGACAAGCTTAGAAGGAGTTCTGTGCTGCCCAATCTGGTTTTCCTGCTCTTGGAGTCCTCATTCCAGGTTTTTATTGCCATACAAGCCTCCTCTTCACCTTCATGCACTGAGGTTACTGAGGACTGCAGTGTAAGGAGCGACAGACATAGTGAAGTGTAGCAGCTAGCAGATTCAGGGTGCAATCCTATGACAGTTTATGCAATCCTACAGCTGGTGTGGGAACGCTGGAAGCTATAGGACATTTTTATGTCTAACATGCATTGAACTGTACCCTATCATGTTTAGCTATGGATTATAAAGTTCCTCCTTTGTAAGTCCACAATACCCTTGTCCAGCTCTAAAAGGTTCCAGAGTTCCTGCCATCTTTCCATCAGGGATGCAGCTGAATCAGATCCCTGCAACCCTCTATGAAGGCAAACTATGGGGCTGCTGGACCTTACTTGTAAGCAAATTGCCCTTGTCCAGGAATTATTTTGTGCACAGGCAAGCCAATATGCTCATTAAGCTCTTGGATCTGATGTCATGTTTTTTACCATGGGACTGCGTGTCAAATGAGCACCCATATTTACCACAAAGGTTCAGTGGGCAGGATAGCAGATTCCTAGTTACTTCTCCATTAGGGCAGTCTTCTGGGCAAACCCATGTAGAGTTCAACACATATATGGAGGCCTGTGATCACTTTGGTTTTCCTCATCAGCACTTGAGCAGGGTGCTCTCTTTTGGGAGTACCCCTGCTCAGATGGTCACAAAAGCCTCACGTAGTTAACTTCAGCTTTCCTCCAGCTGGGACTTGTATGGTTTTAGAGTAGCCCCACCCAACCTGGGCCCTCCAGATGTGTTGGACTTTATGGATGCATGGACCTGATTAAATATATTCTATCTCCATTCTGAGGATTGCCAGGCATTTTTGTTTTCCATTGTGCAGTTGTAAATGGAATTTGATTTTGCACAAATGTATTCATACACATTTCTGCAAATTCAGCTTTCAAAAGTTAATAAATCTGCCCCAGAGACACAGTCCCACCCAAATGCTCAGACTTTAGTCTAGGGGGATACATATTTTAAGATATTTAAAGATATTTTTCTAAATTTGCCTAAAATTATGGAAAGTAAATCAAACAAAGTCTGAAAAATCTATACAAAAAACTAGTTCCCCGGGGAATGTGTTGAATTCATAGAAATCCAAACTCATTTGAATCCATTACAGATTTAATCTGACATCCCTAGCTGGTCAACATCTAGGTATGCTAGCTGGAGGATGCTGGAGATTGTAGTCTGAAGGGTAACAGGTTCCACAGAGGCCTGTTTTAGAAAACAGCAAAATCCCATTTCCTCATAACTTGGGTCCAGGGCATTTCACAAAGTAATTTTATGACAGTAGCTGATTCATCAGGATCCCTCATGCCCTAAGGTTTCCCACTCAGCTTGGAACTGAATTCAGCTTGGAAGCCTTGCCTTCTGCAACCATTAAGCAAAGCCTCTCTGAATGTGTAGAATGTTTCACATGGCATGGATCCTCCACACAGTCTCCAGTTTGCTTCATGAAGAATCTTTCTGAACTATAAAGAAACTGTTCTGAGCTGGCATTCTGAGTGGAGGCCAGAGGAAAGATCAAATACGGCCAGGCAGACTGAAATGGCATCTCAAGTACCATCTTGAAGCCTTGGACACTCCAGGACACATTCAAAGACCCAGGGGGCTCAATTTGGACCATTTATCTTAAGGTAAAAGTATTGGGAACTGTAGTTGACTCAGACAACAGTAACAAGATATGAATCACTGGAGTGTGTGTGTGTGCGCGCGCGCGTGTGTCCCCATCCCTAGGTTTTAATTAACCCTTGTCAGCTTCTCTAGGTATTCAGACAAATGAATGCAACACCTGCTTTTTATTTGTTCCCTTAAACTTTGCCTTCAGAAACTGCTTCTTGTTCATACAACTTCAGCTACTTTATTTTATCCTCCTATTTCTGCCTTCAGTCTCATGGTTTATGCTTAAGCAGCTGTTGATTTTCTTTGATATACTAAAGCCTTTTCCTATTGCCAAAATTAAATATTTTTGGATCAGTGATTTACTAAAGCCAAGATAATGTGATGCTTTTTTCTTTGTCTGCCAGCATCATTGAGACTCTATTGGTGAATATTACAGTAACTGCAAGTGATGATGTGGCATAGACTAAAATTCAGCATTGCATTCTACAGAACAAATCTAGTTTGAAGGTCCTATGTTGTTCACAAGACTGCTTGATGGTATTTTCTAACTTCCTCCATTTTCATTCTACTTTGTGAATTC